TGTGCTGAGACATTTCCTGGGCAGGGTTTTTTGTCAGGCGGGTAGAACGCGGGCGGCCAAAGGTTCCAGTGACAGCGAGCCATAGTTCCCAGCTGCCATCGCATCAAGAATCGAGAATAGGCATTATAGAGAAGAAGAAGACTCGATCGCTGGGACAATATGTTTATTCGCCTGACGTATCCGTCGCGGATTCGTCATCAGAGACATGAGTAGCAGAAACAGGTCACTTACCGAATCAGACGCGAGTTAACGAGCAGCCATCGCGTCATGTACGACCACCGGCAGTGAATGTGGGCTCACTAACTGGATTAGGCACGTGGCGATATGACAACTGCCTTCTATCAATACTGCACCCCTGGCACCCTCATCACTTCTATCTGCGGTTGTCTCTGAGGATGGGTTCGAACAAGCATCCTAACTGTCTGGCCAATAAACGCTGTGCTGCCTGAAAATTGCCAATTGTTTTTTTATCGGTTTCCCCGTTCATTTGCTGCGTTCTTCGTTTGTGAGGACTAGGAGCTAGGCCCTGCTTCGGAGCCTTTTTGGCTGTAGGCAAACGCTAATCTTAATAACTGAATTAAGACTTAACTGGACGCTTGAGCTAACGGCATATGGCATACCTCACGAAGTATCAACTGAAATTCGGAAATGTGTTTTCGATTCGAATAACTTGCTTAGGAAAGATTTCACTGTGCATGGATCGTGCAGTTTAAACCTAAAATATTTCCATCGCAACAAGATGTCGGCTTTGCAACAAGCTTCCTTCTGATCTATTAAGAAAAATATACTTTATACCAAATGTAACTTAAGTGGTATGCATCTTATCATTGATGTTCAATGTCCTTATATATGCAAAGATACTTCATAGAAAACATGCGCGAAAGTATCTTTCCTTACACTAATACTGTGTTTACCAGTGTTAAAACGCCCCACTTAAGTGATTTTTTGGTTTAAAGTTTTTGCTCAATATTTTCGCTCTTCCAAACGAAAGGTGAGTTTTCATTGGAAACATATTTTAAGTCAGTTGAATGTTGACCAAGTCTGCAAATAGCATAGTTGGAAGTGGTTTGTAGAAAGGCCCAAGGCCTTTTTTTCTAATCTGACATAATTTCGTAAAGATTATAACTCAGCTGACGTCGAATACAACTATTTCAGAATGGAACGCTACCATTTTCCTAAAACATGCTTTCTAGTGGTAATTAAAATGGCACTATTGGCTGTCTACGGTGCTCAGCCTTCCCTCACTCTGACTGCACCGTATGCTAAAAAAGCTCTTTGATGTTTTG